AGTGCTGGGATTACAGGTGTGCACCACCATGCCCGGCTTCAGACTTCTGAAGACTGTTTCTTTAAAAAGCTGGACAGAGCTATGGCTCCTCCCCAGAAAATGTGGGCACACATTTGCAGGCAGTTTCGGGGTGTCACAGCCTCCCCTAAAGCCCAGAAGAGCCTGTGGCCCCCCCATCTGGCTCCTGTCGTCCTTCAGCTACCACCAGTGTAGGTGGCTGGGGAAGTCCCCACTGTCCCCACCCACTGAGGCCCTTGGAGGCAGGGCCTTGGGGGACAGCAGCGCTGGGACCCTCCGTCCCAGAGGGCTGTCACACTTCCTTGGTGACACACATGTCACACAGTGGATCTGAACAGAATGGGGTGGGGGGCAAGTTCTGTTCTTGGTTTACAGTCAGGCCGTGGGGAATTGTCTGTGTGCAGATGTTTGTGGGAAAGAAAATACATCAGTCAGGGTCCCTGCAGGAAAGAGGGTTCTGCTCAGATGGGGAAGCGGGAGACCTTCATGTGTGGTTTCTTTCCAAGGCAGGGGTGAGACTGGAAATCCCCAGGGACGTGGGACTGCCAGGGACTCACAGCAGCGAGGAGCTGTTCTCGCCTGAGCTGCAGGGGCGATGGCCGAGGCTGCAGCTGGAGGGGTCCCCGCAGGACTGGGGAGAAAATGACAGTGTTGCCCCCAGCTCCCTCTGCCAGTGCCTGCAGCGGTCACATCGCGATCTCAGGGCGGGGGCCCAGGCTAGGGTGCTGGGAGGAGGCCACCCTCTGCGGTGCGGAGCGGCAGAAGCGGGCTGGGCCGGTGCTACCCCTGCAGCCCCAACAGGGTCAGGAAGGTGAGGTCCCAAGCTGTCCCTCCGGCCTGGTGCAGGGATGCGGGCCGAGGGGACCTCACCTGCCTCGCCTGGATTTTTCATCCCGGCCTTGCCGGTGTCTGGATGGCATTTGACCTGACGGCTGCCCACCTGGCCCTGTAAATGCCAGCACTTAGGTTGGGCAGAGTCCCTGGTCGCTACTTAATTCCTGCCTCCCCTCCGAGGGTCTCCCTGGAGCTGATGATGGGTAATTAATGTTGCTTAATTGATATTCTTGGGGCTTAGTCATAGAGGTTTCAGAACCCACGGGAGCGTCTTTTGTGGCATGTCAGCTTTTTCCTCTGGGTTTTGTTGCCAGGGAGAAGCCAGCCTTTCAGAGGGGAAATAGCCTCATTCCTGGGCTTCTTTTCCCTTTGTGCCCCGACCCCAGCAGCTTGTCCCAGCTCTTGGGCTTGGGGGCCCCTTCACCTCCCCATCTCGCTCAGCCTCTTCCCCAGGGTCCCCAGCTCCGCCTTCCCTAACGTCCTCCGGGCGTCAGCTCTGCACTCCGAATCCCTGGGGCAGCCCGGGGGTGTTAGGGGTCTGTGCCCCCACACTGTGGGCCAGGCAGGCCCCTCCCATCGTCTGAGGAGACCCAGGAAGGAGGACATCTGAGGAGACCCAGGACAGGCGCTTCCCTGGCACGGGCTGGGCTCCAGGTCCAGGGTCAGGATGGTGAGGGCTCAACCCTGCGCCTGGTTCCCGGGCGGGATTTGCCTCCTGCAGGGCAGTTAGATGGCAGCCCTGTGCCCTGCCCAGCTCCGGTCCGGAGCCTTCCCCTGTCCAAGTCCCTTCCAGCCCAAAACTCTCTAATGCTGAAGAGAGTGAAATTCAATAGCCAGAGTGATTTTTTTCGGAGCATCCATTCAGTTGCACCCCCGCCATCATTGATAGGTGTGTAAACAGGGCTGGACAGGGACCGAGCGGCTCGTTAGATTTAAAATCCACCCTCTAGCATCCATCCCCTTTGTCATCGGTGCAAGTAATGAAGGCCGTAAACACCTCCGAAGTCCCCAGGTCGCAGGTTTTGCAGTTGACATGCGCACGTCCGTTCCCTCTGAGGCTCAGTCATCCGTCCGCGCCCAGCCTGGCTCACTTGGCAGGAGATACTCAGGGGGCGCTCGGAGGCCCCCTCCCGCCCGTCCCGTTTCCAGGGGAACCCCATCTTCTTCCCAGGCAGATGCGACTCTGGAGGATTCCCCTGCGTGGCAGCTTCAAGTGCCATTTTAGAAGGAGCACCCTGACGGCGTTTTCCGCGGGCCCTGGGCTGGGCCGGGCCGGGCCGGGCTGCGGTGGGCGTGGGTAGTGAGGGGTGTTGGTCCCTGACACAAGGTTGTTCTTGCTGGAGGAGGGGACGGCACGGGGGGAGGGGGAGGGGAGGACGCTCGCTCTGAATCCTGGGTGTTTACCTGGAATATTCCGCAAGAAAGCCATTAGGAGAAATTCTCTTTTGTCCGAAGACAGGACGTGTTAAGAATTCTTAATTTCTACTTGGAGGCCAACACAGGGACCCTTAGAACAGGGTGATACCTTGAAAGATTGTGCCGGTGTGTGAGGGTGAGACAGGATTACCTCCCCAGTGCCTTGCACACAGTAGGCTGACTATAAATGTCGGTGAAGCAAACCTCATCGTTGTTTGAGTTTCATGTCTGATGAGTGCTTGCAGTTGGATGACGGAGAAATAGACTGGGCTTTGGCGTGCCCAGCTGTGTGACCTTGGGCAAGTTACTTAACCTTGCTGATCCTGTTTCCTCACTTGTGAAATGGGTAATAACCCTCAGGATTTTTGGAAGACTTGAATAAGATAACTTAATGACCTGTGGAACATCAGTGGGGGCTCAGTGAATTTTGTTTTCTTCTTCCCTCCTGTTGTATCCTCATTCCTTAGTAGTTCTCAACTCCATCTGCTCATTAGAGCCACCTAGGGAACTTTAAAGAAGTGTAATTATTTGGGCCTCACACACTGAGTTTTGGGTTTAATTTGTCTGTAGTGGTGTTGAGCATAAGGTTTTTTGTTTGGTTTTGTTTTTTGAGATAGGGTCTCACTATGCCATCCAGGCTGGCCTTGAACGTGCAGCAGTCCTCCTGCCTCAGCCTCCTGAGTGCTGGGATTATAGGCGTGTGCCACCACACTCAGCAAGCATAAGTGTTTTGTAAAAGCACCTGTTAAATGATTTCTTAAAAAGGCAAACTCTGACTCCTATACAAACATACAATGAGGCTATGACAGGGTTTATTTAACTTGTTCACAAATAAGGAGAGACCAGTAGGTTTTTAGAACCAATTGAAACAATTTAAACAACACACACCTATGGGCAGTTGGGAATTCAGAAGTAAATTTACCTGTAGATTTATTGACATTGACAGGGTCATAACCCATTGCATTCCACTGTAGAGCATGTACTTGTGTCTCTATGAGCGAGAATCGCTGCACATTTTCGAGTTGAGGAGTAGCTTGAAGACAGTGAAAGCTGCAGACCACTGTGTAACCAGATGGCTGTGCAGGCGTGTTAGGAAGGACACTTGGGGTGTTGTTCTTCCCTTGGTGGGACAGAATACCCGAGGAAGATAGCTCAGGGGAGGAAAGGTTTGTTCTGACTCACAGTTTCAGAGGTTCCAGTCCATGGTTGGCTAGCTCCATTGTGGCGAGGCAGAAACAACATGGCAGAAGGACGTGGTAGAGGGGAGCTGCTGGCTCATGGTGCCCAAGAAGCAGAGAAAAAGGGGGAAGGACCAGAGAAGAAGGGTCAGGGCCAAGATGTGGTCCCCAAGGTTGTATCCCATTACCCACTCCCTTCACCTAGGTCCGCTGTTCCCATCCCTCTAAATAATGCAGTCAGATTATGAGAGCATCCGATAATGAAGGTAGAGACCCCAGGATCAGTCAGCTTCTGCAAGCACCTCCCTAGAATACACAAGACCTCGAGGGCACATTTCAGATCTAACATGCAACACTCAGTATCCACTTTCTTCTTGTCCATTTATCGTTTTCACACTTCCCCAGGGGTGAATTCTCAGCTGCAGTGCAGGGCAGGGACCCTGCCTGGTACCTCTGTGTGCCACTCTGCGGGCACCATTCGCTGTCTGTGTCTACTTGTTTCGAGCTGTCCTCCCACGGAGAGGACTCTTCAGAGGTGGAGCCTTGTTCTGTTTATCTGTGTAGCCCAATACTGAGCGTGCTCTCTGACTTAGAAACAGTTGTAGAAGAACTGGGTCACGCCTGGCATCGTGGTGCATGCCTATAACCCCGGCAATCAGGAGGCCGAGGCAGAAGGATCGCTGTGAGTTCAAGGCCAGCCTGGGCTACGTAGTGAGACCCTGTCTCAGAAGACCGAAAAAAAAAAAAGATTGCATCCAAGTGAGTGATAGCTCTGGAAGTAAGCAGGACAAGTAGTCTCCATGTTGTGATGGGGAAGGTGGCTCTGAGCTTGTGATGCAGTTCATCCTTCCCTCATCAAGCATAATTCATCCAGCGCTCTGGGAGTGCCTGCTGTGTGCCACATGTAGCATCAGTGTTATAAAATGCAGATTTTCCCAGGCCTTGCTCCAGATCTCCTAAATAGGAGCCCTGGGAGTGAGGTCCAGTCTGTACTTCGACAGCTCCTCTGGGTGCTTCTGAAGCGGGGGCAGGCAGGGATGGAGAGTGACTTGCCTAGAATCATTTGGGGAGCTTCGTGGGATTCAGGTATTGAGTGTCTGTTGTGCCCAGAACTCTGGACTCCTGTGTCTGCTCAGCCAAAGCCAGGCGCGTTCAGTGTCCGCAGAGGTCATCCGTGGCTGAGGCAGCAGGGTCGGGGTCTGGTGCAGCCTCGCTGGGCCTCCGGCTCAAGTTCGCCGGGCTGCTGTGAAGGTGCTGCTGGGGCCTTGGTCATCTTGAGGGAGGTCAGCAGGGCGGCTTGGCTTCCCAGGTCCCCTGGAAGTGGCTTCAGCAGTGGCCTTGGGATGGGGACAGCACCACTGTCAGAGAGCGGAGGCCGTGAAGGCTGTGGGCCTGGCGGAGGCCGGGAGGGGCCGCGGGGCGGGGGCGGAGCTAGTGGAGGAAGAGGAGGCGGGCGGGCGTGGAGGTCGGAGGAGCTCTCCCTGGATCGCTGGGCCTGTGAGGACAGGGGCTGGAGCTCACGAGGCGGGGTCCCCTAGCCGCCTTCTCTTGCAGTTTGGGCGCACCGAGGTCATCGACAACACGCTGAACCCAGATTTCGTGCGCAAGTTCATCGTGGATTACTTCTTCGAGGAGAAGCAGAACCTCCGCTTCGACCTGTAAGTGCAAGCGGGTGCTGCAGAGCTGCAGGGCCGGCCTGCAGCTGAGGCGAGCGTGCCAGCGCCTCCCTCCTGGGCCAGTGCCCAGGCCCCGGAGCAGGCGGGCAGCCTGGGTAAGGCGAACTGGGAAGGGGAGGCCGAGGGCAAGGTCATGAGCTGCGTGGAGCGGAGCCTTGGGTGGGACTTGGGGAGCAGGGAGCGAAGGGTGAGCGGCTCGGCCCGGGCGGCGGCGCCCATGTATTTGGCTTTTCCGGTTTTGCTTGGGGCATGAGGGGCACACGTGGAGAGGTGTGTATGTCCTAGGCGTCCATCCCAGGGCCCAATTTTCCGCCTCTATCCTGGAGGCTCCTCCTGTGCCTCTCGGCCACTGGCCCGGTGAAGGGACCTGACTGCCCTCGAGGACCCAGGCAGGGCCGGACGGGACGTCCCACCTGCCTTCACCTTGTGTCTGTGCTCCCTGCAGGTACGACGTTGACTCCAAGAGCCCTGATTTATCCAAACACGTGAGTTTTCCCGCACTGCCCCCACCCCGGCACGTCCAGAACACTTCTGAAATGCCGTTTTCTGGCTTGGCCTCGGGCTTCGCGTGTGCCTGGTGCTCTTGTCTTTTCACTTCAGACCCTACCAGGGCCCAGGCGCTGGGGGTGGGGGAGTGGCCGTGGGCAGAGGCGGTGACACTGGCCTTATCTGTGCCCTGGGTTTGCAGGATTTCCTGGGCCAGGCCTTCTGCACCCTTGGAGAGATTGTAGGGTCCTCTGGGAGCCGCCTGGAGAAGCCCCTCACGTAAGTGTGCAGGAGGTGCCAACTTCCCACCCACCTTGGTGAGGGAGGCAGGGTCGGGGGCGGCTGCTACTCACGGTGAGCCTTGGGAGTAAGGAGATTTCATGGTGACAGCACTTCTAACTCACTACTCTGGGAGGGAGCCCGGCTGGGTTACCAGAGCCCTGTACTCCTGGGAAGTCCTGGCCCATTCCCTACCCCTATTATTGTATGGAGGAGGAAACTAAAGCCCAGAGAAGAGAAGCGACCTGCCCAAGGCCACACAGCCAGCAGGTGGGAGAGCCTGGATTTGAACCTGGGACCCAAGTGACACAGCATCGTCCTCAGGTCATTCGTGGCTTGTTGTGGGCCCGAGCTGGGCGTGGCCAGGCTCCCCCATCTCACCCTGCCTCTCTCAGTCCGCCTGATAGGATTTGAGGGGCTTTGGGGGCAAAGCTGCTGCTCTGAGCAGGCTCTGGGGTGAGGAGCCCCAAGGCTTCCCACAGTGAAGTCTAAGCGTGGCTTCACAGGCTTGCCAGGGCCAGCCAGGGACTCGAGGTGAGCTCTCTTGTCCCCGTTTGTGGGCAGGACCCCGGGCAGGGCAGGCGGGAAAGGGGCTTCAGGTTGGGATCGGCATCAGCTCCTGCCGCATCCCCTGGACGCTGTCCTTCAGGGTGGTCGGGAGTTGCAGTTGTGTGTGTGCGCATGTGCCTGAGTGTGTTTGGAGTCTCTTTCGGGCCCTGCCTGACCCCCATGGCTATGTGGTCGTGTCTGAGCCCTGGGAAGGTCTGTGTGACCCTGAGAGGTCCCATGTCCGTTCCCAGGAAACAACTAACAGCTATCACTTACTGAGGATGGGAAAACTCAGGTTTGAAGAGATCTGAAGCTTAAAGACTTCAGGGAACCTCTTCAAAAAAGGCTATAAAATTAATATTTGCTAGCCCTTCCCTCTCCCACATTCCTAAACTTCTTTTTTTTTTTTGTCTTTTTGAGACAGGGTCTTGCTGTACAGTTCAGGCTGGCCTTGAGCTCACTTTGTAGCCCAAGCTGGTCTTGAACTCGCAACGTTCCTCCTGCCTCAGCCTCCTGGAGTACTGGGATAACAGGCGTGTGCCATGCCCAGTTTGAACTTCTTTTTAAAACTGTTATTTTTGGGTGGGGGCAGTGGTGATAAGTGGTGCTAGGGATAGATCCAAGGGCATTGAGTGACATCCTCAGCCCTTTTTTTTATTGAGACAGGGTTTTGCCAAGTTGCCTGGGCTGACCTGGAACTTGTGGTCCTCCTGCCTCAGCCTCTAGAGTAGCTGGGATTATAGCATGTGCCACCACCTCTGGCTCCTTGACCATGTTTAATTATAGCTTTATATTCTTTCTCCATCCTTGGAAAGGGCTGGGGGTGGGCACAGGACATCTGCCCTGGTTCCTGTTACTTATGTCCTAGAAGTGTCCCATCCACGGCTTTTGATGATTCCTGCAGTCCTTCCCACCCCTCCTCCCCCTCGGTAGCTCTGGCCCAGTAGAGAGACCCCACCCCCACCCCAGGAGCTGGCTGGTGCGCTGGGCCTTACAGGCACCGGACCTGAGACTGAGGCTGAAGGAGACGCCGGCGGAGGAGGCAGACCTTTGACCCCACCAGAGAGTCCCTGTGTCTGAGTTTAGTTGCTGTAGTGACTAAGCCCTATTAACAGCTCCTGTTTACTGGGCATGTATTCTGGGCCAGACACAAGGGCTCGGGTTTTGTTTATGAAACCTGTAAAGTCGGGATACCGAATCCGCACATTCAGCCAACCGCAGGTCGAAAGTATCGGGAAGAGTTGTGTCTGTACTGAATAGGTGCAGACATCTTTCTCGTCATTATTCCCTAAACAGTAGAACTATTGCATAGCTCTTACAGCATATTAGGTATCACAAGTAATCTAAAGATGATTAAAAATATACAGGTGGAGGCTGTATGCAGACACATCATTTTGTGTAGGAACATGAGTGGTCAAGGATTTGCTGTCTGCGGGTGTCCCAGAACTGGCCCTCGTGTATTCTTTTGTTAGTGATATTGTAGCAAAGACCATGGGTTGAGTGACTTAGAGACCACACATGTTTATTTTCTCACAGTTCTGTAGGCTAGAAGTTCAAGGTTAAAATGCACACAGGTCGTCCTCTCCATGGCTTATGGGTGGCTGTCTTCTTTCTCTCCGTGGTTTTTTTGCTTTTTTTTTTTTTGAGACAGGGTCTTACTGTGTAACCCAGACTGGCCTCAAACTCACTGTGATCCTCCTGCCTCAGCCTCCCGAGAGCTGGGATTGCAGGCGTGCGCCACCACACCGGGCTCGCTCCCTGTGTCTTCCCCTGTTGTCCTTCTGTGTGTGCCTGTGTCCTCCTTTCTTTCTGAGGGCACCGTCGTGCTGGATTAGGGCCCACCCGCATGACCACCATGAAGGCCTTGTCTCCAAACACAGCTACGTTTTGGGGTAGCAAGGTTGGGACTGCAGCGTGAACCTGCTGGTGGTGGGGTGCAGCTCACTGTCACAGAGCCTCATGTCATTCAGCAATCTCGCTTTCCCACAGCCTGGCACGGGGGCTCATGGGGGTGAAGCAGTGGTTCCGTCCCTGAAGCAGGCTGCAGGGCCACCTGGGGCAAACGGGCAAGCTCTGCCCCTGGGCCTCTGACCAGATAGGAGTAGTGGGGGCTGAGAACATGGGGAGCTGAGAACTAGGGGATGGTGACACTTCTGGCCTGGGGACCCCCTTTGAGAACCTCAGACATGGTATAGCATGCTCGGGCCTCAAAAGACTGGGAAACGCCCTGCCAGCCCCAGCCTGGAGCTTGGTGCCCTGGCCTCCCTGGCCCCGGGCCACGCTCACAACCAGCGACCTGTCCTCTCTCCACAGCATAGGCGCGTTCAGCCTGAACTCCAGGACGGGCAAACCCATGCCGGCCGTGTCCAACGGGTAGGTCGCAGCTGTCCCTGGCCCTGCTGCCTTCCCACACCCAGACAGCTCACAAAGCGTGGCCGAGTCTGGGCCCAGGTCCTGATCCTACCCAGCAAACTCTGCCCTGGTCAAGAGAGAGCAAGAGCGCTGGGGTCAGGCCCAAGCTGGAGCAACCCCGGCCCTAGGAGCGGAGGGCCTTCGGGGGAGTAGGAGGGGCCCCTCTGCCTGCTTCAGGGTACCCAGGCTGGTTCAGCCTCCTCCTGCCACAGAGGAGGCGCGGCGAGTGCCCTCACACTGCCCACGGCGCTGGGCCCCCTTGCCCCACGCTGACGGTGTGCTGTGGGCTGTTCCGTGTGTGTGTGTGTGTGTGTGTGTGTGTGTGTGCTGCCCCCCTGCTGGAGCGCCAGCCCTGGCTCCCAGACTCCGGCCCCCAGCCTGCTCCGCTCACCGCCAGACCTGCCGTGCGGGTGTGGGCCTCTGGGAGCAGGCTGGCCTGGGGTTTACATCTGCAGAGCTCGGCGGGAGCCGGGGAGCCAGAGAGCAGCCAGGAAGGAGGGAGCGGAGGGAGGCGGCCCTGCGGTGGGAGCAGGCTGGGCTGGAGAGGAGGGAGAGAAAGAGCAGAAATAGAAGAAGGACCGGCGGTGGCGAGGAACAGATGGAGAGGCTTGGGGCGGAGGAGGCTGCTGTTGAGGAGTCTCCGCAGGCCCCGGTCCTGTCTTTACTGCCCAGGGGCGGGGGCCGGGGTGGGAGGGCTTGGGGTCCTGGCTCAGAGGCCCATGGCCCAGGGAACCCGGGCGGTGCTGCCACCCACCCGGGCAGGGCAGGGCAGGGCAGGGCAGGGCAGGGCAGGGCAGGGCAGGCCAGGCTCCACTGTGGCCCGAGCCCCTCCCCCACCCGGCCTGCCCTCCACCCCCATGGGGAGCCTCTCTGGCAGCGGTTCTCAGGGCGTGTTCCACGGAGAGGCTGGGTCCCCTGGGCATGGCACCGTGTGTGAGAGTTAATGCAGGGGACACGGCCAGCACACGGTCCCTCCCAGCCTGACCCTTTAACCTCTTCTCCCTTCTAGTGATCCCTGGCTCCCCTGGGGTCCCCCCTGGCTTGGTCCCAAAGATCAGAGTGGGGTGACTTGGTGATTAGTGTGGGGGAGGGGGCCCACCTGACTAGGGGACGGGGTGGTGGTGTCCCCAAGGTGGAACTGAGAGGGGACCCTCAGCAGGGCTGGCTGTGGTCCCCATCCTGGTGGCCCCGCTCCCTGAGGAGCTGTCCGGCTGGCTGAGCTCGGTTACCTCTAGGGACACCCAGCCAGAGGACTCCAGGGTGGTACGCCAGGGAGAGGACACCGGGCCAGGCCCGCTCCCGCTCCTCTTCCTCCCGTAAAGTCGAAGCAGCTGCATGTCTGGGGACCCTGGGCCCCATCTGCCGGGCGGGGCGGGGTGGCCGGCCCACAAGGTCTTTTGCCCGCAGAAGTGGTGTGTGGATGGAAAGTTTGAGAACCCCTGGTCTGGAAGCTTCCGGGTGAGTCTGGATGCTTTTGCGGTTCTAGGACTTTGCTGCTGGCACTGCCTCCCCGTGGGCTCTGGGAGCAGGGGGTGGAGCAGCCCCGGTGGCCCGAGAGGGCTGCACACTGCCGGAAGGCGCAGCCTGTGCTGGGGCGTTGGGGCCGATCAGCGGGCCGGCCGGGAGGGAGCCCGGTGCCTGGGGTCCTGGGGTCCCTGTCCCTGGCTGCCCTCCCATGCTTGCTCTTGTCCCCCAGTGGCGTCCCAGGGAAGAAATGCGGCACCATCATCCTGTCCGCCGAGGAGCTCAGCAACTGTCGGGTGAGTGGTGGGCAGGCGGGGGCCCCAGAGAGAACTTGGCGGGCACGGGGCCGGGACCAGGGCACTTCCCCAGGGTGCACCGGGTCTCTGGAGGGACCGGAGGGCAGATGGGGCCTGGAGTGCCACCCGGCCGGCCAGGAATCCAGTCGCCCCAGAGCTGCCGGGGGCCAGGGCGGACGTGACCACGGCTCCCACGTCAGGGCTCCTAACTGTCCCCATGCGTCCTTGAGCACAGACTGCCTTGGCACCAGCCCTGGTGACGCCAGCCTTTCAGTCCCAGGTGCTTGACATTTGGTTGTCATTTTTCCCTTTTATCTCTGGGTAGAGTGGAGTGGAGGGAGTGAGAGCTTGCGTGTGCGTGTGCGTGTTCTCACGCTGGCAAGCTGGAGTCCCCAGGCCCAGGCGGACCCTGACTTTGCTTTTTCTGCGTGACTGTGGCCGGCAGTGGGGACAGCTCAGGGGTGGCTGAGCATGTGGGAAGGGGCTCCGACTTCCGGATCTCCCCAGGTCGGCGCTGCCGTCCCATCGGCACCTGCCGGCACGCACCGCATCAACAAGACAGATTTAAAGTTATGCATCCACCAAAATAACAGTAATTGGACATGTTATAGGTTAGCATAAATAACATGTTACCTGAAAGTAAATATATTTTTTAGAGCACAGGTTCTTTAATAAGAAGAGGGGTCTTGTTTTGCATAGCTGCAGACCTCTTTGGTATCTGACTTCCTGGAAAGCCGCCGATGCCTGTGTCTGCTTGTGCTGCCAGGCTGCTGTCATCGCTGCCGGCGACCTCTGGGAAACTCTATCTTGCACGATTCTGGCAAGGCTTGGACCTGGGGCCCGCCCCAGTCCTCACCCGCACCTTGAGCGGTGCTGCTGCAGAGCTGTGTTAGCGCTCCTTCTCCGAGCAGTTATTCTGGGCTGTACGTCGGCGTGCTCAGTGGCTGCAGGTATTGTAGTATAACAATGTGCCGCAGGCTGCAGTTTACACATAGAGACACTGAAGCGCAAAGAGATTGAGAGACCACACAGCCATGGAGCACAAGAGGGCTGAGCCCAGGCAGTCTGGCTCTAGAACTGAGGTCTTTCAGGCACAGAAACAGAACTGGCCGGGGCTGGGGATTTAGCTCAGTGGCAAAGCGCCTGCCTGGCAAGCGCAAGGTCGTGAGTTCGGTCCCCGGTACCGGAGAAAAACCAAAAAAAAAAAAAAAAAAAAAAAAAAAAAAAAAAAAAAAAAAAAAAAAAAAAAGAGAAACAGAACTGGCCGTGATGGTGCACACCTGTGATCCTGGCACTCCGGGAGGCTGAGGCAGGAGGACTGCCAGCATGAGCCCAGTGTGGGCAACTTAATGACTTAGCAAGACCCTGTCTCAAAACATAAAAAAAAAAAATTTTTAAAGGTGCTCGGGATGTAGCTCAGTGTGAAGGGACTGAGTTCAGTGGACAGTGTTGCAAAAATAAATAGGCTTAAGAAAATAGAATTCAGACTGGGCGTGGTGGCGCACACCTATAATCCCAGCACTCCGGAGGCTGAGGCAGGAGGATCACTGAGAATTCGAGGCCAGCCTGAATTACACAGTGAGACCCTGTCTCAACGAGAGAGAGAGAAAGAGAAAGAGACAGAGACAGACAGACAAAGACAGACAGAGAAAGAACTGATTTGGAGGACAGGGGGTCCAGCGAGGTTGCCGCTCTGTCCCCATGGACGGGTCTGACAGACCCAGTGTCTCAGCAGTGCAGGGCCTGCTGTGGTGCTCCTTGAGTGTCTCTGGCAATGTGTCCCTGAATGCTCAGCAGTGGATAGGGACAGAAACTCCCGTGTCCCCCGAGGCCCCACGCGGGAGAACCATTGACTGTCAGGAGACCAGGGGTGCAGGCCCAGCACTGGAGCCTCGGGTTCCCACCTGTGATTGGAGCCGAGTGCTGGCGGTGAGGACACCGGAGGTCAGAGCCCTGGCAGCAGGCACCCGGGACAGTCTCCCCCAACCCCCAGCCAGCCAGTTTATGACAAAATAAACAGCAGCGAGGACGCTTTGGAAATCCCCGAGCCCCAGGCCATCGCAGGCCCCACGCTGCGGGGCTGGTTGCAGTCTTTGTCTGAGAGCCCTTGGGGCGCCCCCGCCTGCTCCTTCCTCCCTGCACCCCTTCCCGCGCCAGGGGGTCGGGCCCCTCCCCTCCTCCTGCGGCCGTCAGCGCCTTTTTTGGCGCATCTGGGCTGAGCTGTCTTCCCTTAGAATACTTGCAAGGAGGAGAGGCTGATTCCCAGCATCTGGCTGAATTAAAGAAATTACCTCTGAGAGGCTTCGCTAGGCTCGCGGCTCGGCATTCAGCCGAGGATCAAAGGAAGAGGGCGGGGCCTGGGCGCGGCGCGCAGGGCTTCCTGCCCGGATGAACGGGCCCCTGCATCCGCGGGGACGGCGTGGGCGGGCGGGGACCAGCGCGGGCGAGGGTGGATTCGCGTGTCACCGGTTGACAGGCGAGGAAAGAGCCTGGCTCCGCGGCCGTTTCGATGCCGAGAAAGTAACCACCGTCAGAACCGGCTCCGGACCCTATTCAGGGGTGCCCACAGGACCAGAGCCTTTCCCCGAGATTTCATTGTTTTCATTAAGCCCCACATTTCAGTGAAGTCTGGTAACACCAGCCGCGCTGCTGACCTTTCCAAGTCCTTCGCCTCCTGAGAGTCTCTTATTTATACGCTTTTATTTGTTGTTCAAAACAGGGTCTGGCTGTAGAGTCCAGGCTGGCCTTGAACTTGTGGTGATCCTCCCGCCTCAGCCTCCCAAGAGCTGGGATTACAGGCGTGCGCCACCACGGTGGGCTGTGCTCTTGCACGTTTCTCACCGTAGAGCTGGGGGATGGGTAGGTGTGAGCGACCTGTGTCAGATGCAGAGAGTGTGGCGTGCCCTAAGGTGACCAGGAACTCCTCAGTGAGGAGCCCACGGCTTTGCGTTATGTGCGACATTCCTGGGCCTGGTGGGCTCTGTGGAGCTTGGTGGCCCTCAGAGGCTGTGCAGCTTTGGGTGTCAACAGCTGGGATTGCGGAGAGAGCCCGGAGTCCTTGGCTCCCACATCCTGCCAGGCACCCGGACCTGCCTGGCTCTGGTCAGGGACTTCCTGGCTCCCAGGTGGACCACCAGGGTGATGGCGATGATGCCCTGCGCCTGAGGAGCCTTGCTGCAGTTTCCTCTGGGGGGCTGTGACCCTATAGCTGTCACCTGTTCACTATACGTCTTGACTGAGCTTCCAGTTGAGCATGCGAGGCAGACATGCCAGCTAGCAGTCCCTTTCCAGCTGTGGTCCTCAACCCTGGCACACCTGCCCTCCTTTCATAGCTCCTGTTCTATAATACTCTTTCTCCTTGAAGGAAAACTCACACCTACTCCATATGTAAACACAGATGGGAGAAGGAGTCCCTGCAGCTAGCTACATGGGGGGGAGGGGGTGGGTTGGGTTCAGGCACTGAGAACAGCATGTGCAAAGGCCCTGGGGTCTGAGAGCCATGGCTGCCAGAGCAGACAGGTGAGGCTGTAGGGGAGGGAAGGGGAAAGGGGGTTGGACCGTGTGAGACCCTGAAGCAGGGAGCTTCGGGGAGAGCTCAGTCTCTCTGTGTGGGAGACTGAGGGAGGGGTGGGAGCTGTGGCAGGTAGAGAGCTGGATGGAAGGAAGAGGTTAGGGGAAGGTGGGGGTGGGAAGCTTCCCTGAGACTCCGAGGGAGACAGCAACGACGTGGAAGGGAGCGCTGTGTTGTGGCTGGAGCAGATAGGAACATCCGGCACAATGAATACCCAGCATTCAGACAGCAACTTTTTAAAGCTTAGTATATAATTTTTTAGTCAGAAATAATCTCTCTGGCTAAAAAAAAAAAAAAGAAAGAAATGGAAAGCAAATAAAAACATTTCTCCTGGTGCTAAAAGAGATAGCATGTTCATTATGGATAAATTGGAACACACAGTAAGACAGGAAAGATTAGAAGAATCAGGAGCTGGGGTTGCAGCTCAGTGACCGAGCTCTTGCCCGGTGTGCATGAGGCCCTGGGTCCAACCCTCAGCGCCAAAAAATAATTAAAAAAAAAATCACGCAGAGGTCATCACTGTTGACATTGTAATGTATTTCCTCTGAGGCTTTTTTCTGGGTATATATGTGTATATTTTTTCTTTTAATTGGTATAATATGGTATCAAGGATTTTTTTTTTTTTGGTTTCGTTTTGTTGCCACACTGAGTAACATCTCCAGTCTTTTATTTATTTTTTAAAAATTTCTAAATTTTTATTTTGAAACAGTAGCTTGCTGAGTCACTCAATTGCCCAGGTTGGGCTCCAACTTTCAATCCTCCTGCCTCAGCCTCCCGGAGTGTTGGGATTACAGGTGTAATCCAGCTCCTGGTGGTATTTATTGTTGGTACTACATTCAGAATAGTGAAGGATTGCTTTTCTTTGTAGTTGATATGTTCTCTCTTTTTTTTTCTGATAAAAAGGACAATGTGCTAAGTCTAGAAAATTTAGAAAACCCATCAGATTTTACAGAGAAGACAGTAAACGTCCCTGTCGTCCTGCTCTCTGTGGAAAAGTGCCCTGCAGGGCGCGGCTTGTGAGAGACGGGACCTGGTGATTGTGATCTGGGGCTCTGGCTGGGCAGGATGGCGCACAGCTATCATCCCCGTGCTCAGGAGGCTGAGGCAGGAAGCAGTTTGAGGCCAGCCTGGGAAACTTCATGAAATCCTGTCTCAAAATAATAAAAAGAGCTGGGGATTTAGCTCAGTGCCAAGACTAGATTCAATTACCCGTACTAGGGGGAGAATAATAGAACTTGGGCTCCAGATCCAAATGTTATCGCCCACCTGCTGTGTGACCCTGGGCAGATAACTTGACTCCTCTGTGCCGCCTTCGTTTCATTTGTTTAAAAAAAAAAAAGTTGGGCTGGGGATATAGCTCAGCAGCACAGTGCCTGCCTGGCTAGTGCAAGGTCCTGAGTTCAATTCCTGGCACCAAAAAACCCTACGGATCTTTATTAAACATTTGATATTTTGCTTATCATAGGTTTTTGCGTTGATTTTAATTTTTTCAGAGTATCCTCTTAAAATATTTATTTGGCTTACTGACGCTTGGAATGCCCTTCAGACCTTGTGTTCTCTTCATGCCTTTTCTGACCCTGGTTGCCAGCAAGACCCAAGCAAGAGCAATCTCTCGCCGCTCCTGAATGTCACCGTCTCGTCCCTAGTCTGCAGCCCCCTTGCCTGCCGCTGGCCTGACCCCTGCTGGCCACGGCAGCGCTCGGAGGCAGGGGTGGGCGGAGGGCCCAGGAGGGAGGGCTCCCGGGCAGCCGTTAGCATTCAGGAGGAGCCTGTGGAGGCAAGCCTGCTGTCTCACAAGAACTTAATATGTTTTTCAAAAGATAGGAGGAAAGGCAGAAATTGCAGGAAATTATAGACTGCGGGAGCCGCTTTATCTTCCCTGAGGCTGCTTCCCTGGAGCTTCAGGTTTGGCCGGGCGTCTCACGTGCCTGGAGGGCCCCACACGGGCCCCCCGGGGTAACCTGTTCCTGGGCTGGCATCCTGGTCACTCCTCCTTGGCCTCCTCTCAGGCTCGTGCGGGCAGCAAGGGTTTGAGCTGTTCTGTGACCACCCACGACAGAGATGGGGGAGCTGTTCCTGTGGCTCAGGGGCACCCCAGAAGCCCAGGCCTGGGCTGGGGTGCAGGGTACAGTCTTGCCCCCACTGTGGCAGGGGCTTGGGCTCCACCCAGCACCACAGACAAACCCGAAAACAGCCGCAGACAATGCCGCCCTCACTCCCGGGGAGGGTGCTGGCCGAGGTGACAGCCCAGTCATCGCTGAAGGTCTCTCCTGTCCCCGTGGGTGCTACAGTGGTACAACAATGACAGCAGCGAACAGCCCGGGGTCTAGATTATTCTGGGGGTGCAGGTCAGACTAAGACCCCAGCCTCCCGGGGCAGGGAGTGAAGTGTTACACGCTGCTAGACTTCTCCAGTTAGCTGAATTTCACAGCCCGTCTTTTTTATTTTAATTTAAACCAGTCTGCACGGAGGCCTTTCTAAATGGATTTCTCACTTCTCTGCCTTCTCCAGCTGAGGTTGTAGAACATAATTAAACTCGTCTTGATGATTCCGGGGGGTCATCGTTTAGAATTACAGGGATTCCTCTTTGGAGCCAGACTGTCTGATTTCAGCCCCATCCCTGCTTCCTGGCTGTGTGGCTTCTTTGAGAAAGAGTGCAGAGTTTTCAGTGTCTCGATGTTCTCCCCTTTAAAATGGGAATAATAACGGTACCTGCCTCCTGGGGTTGCTGGGAGGATTAAAGGAATTATAGATATAAAAGTGGTGGCTGGCACGTATTAGGTAGAACTCCATTATATGGCCTTTTTGTTTGTTCTTGTTTTGTTTATTTGAGATAGAGTTGCATTGTCTATTCCAGGCTGGCTTTGAACCCACAGGGATCCTCCTGCCTCAGCCTCCTGTGTGCTGGGTTTATAGGCGTGCACCACTATGCAGACAGTCTTGCTGTGCTCAGTTGATGACTAGCAATTTCATGGGGTTCAACACAGTAGTAGGTGGCACTGTGCTTTAGCAGCCCCTCTGCTCCCAGCTGCCGCACGTGGGCACCATGGACCAGGACTTATCCTGTGCCGTCTCCTGGCCCCAGCAGGCTCAGGGCCCATCAGGACCCCATCTGTCCTCGCCCCAGAGGGCTGGCGGGTGGCAGCGCTGGGGTCCTGCCGGTGACCCTGGGCCCAGCAGAGCAGGTGTCTTGGTCAGGTGGGACTGGCCCAGAGGTGCTGGGAGCCTCAGGGCCCTGCTCCCCGCTGGGCAGGGCTGGACCTGGACCTCAGAACTGCCTTGCTGTCCCCAGTGGCCTCTGTGGGAAGGAGCCAGAGCCTGTGGTCCCACAGGGCCGCACTTGGTTCAGTGCACTTGAACGTCTTAATTCCTTTTGAACGAGGCCCACTTCTCCCACGCGCCCCAGGACCATGCTGGGAGGAGCCTGCGGGGCCCAGGCTGGGGCACCTGGGACCTGGGGCTGTGTGGATGGGACAATGGCAGCTGAAGGAGCTGCCTGGGTCCCCGCGCCACTCTGGCACACGGCATGGTCCCTAGAAACCTCCGCGGCCTCCTCTGTCTTGGGGGGTGGGGACGTGTGGCGATGCGGATGTCGCGTGAAGCGTGCGGATGTCGCGTGAAGCGTGCGGATGCCTCACGGCCCCTGTGTGCCCCTACCCCCACAAAGTCCCTGATTCCCCTCAGACTCCAATGCCTGAGCTCTCAGGAGCCCCAGTCCCGGCCAGTATAATCACCTCCTGCCCTGGCCGCACCCTGTGCCCTCCGGGGCCTGCGTGTCGTGGGCACTGCTGTCCTGGCACTGGGGGCCGCCCGGGGCAGCAGGAGGCAGGGCGCTGTTCCCTCGCGGGCGCAGAGGCTCGGTTTGCTCCCCGTCAGGCGGCGGAGAGCGAGGAGGGAGGGCAGGACTCGGGCATCCAGGGCTGGGGCCCTGGGCGGGGTCCCCTCCTTCTCCAGCCCCCATGTCTGCCCCTGTGACGAGCGCCGTGGATTTGAGGACTAAGCGGGGAGGGGGGCTGTCTCGTCAAGCTGGCCTGGTGAGTGCCGCGGACGCTGTCTGCGCCATCGTTGTCCTGGCGGCGGGCCGAGTGGCGGTGGTGCGGGGGTGGTGGAGGGGTAGGAGCGCTGGGAATCACGGCCTGTCACACGCCCTCAGCATGTGCTACACGCTGCTCCCGGCGTCGTCCTCCGTCTGCGCATTTTATCCTCACACCCTATGAGGTAGGTGCTGCCGGTGCCCCTGCTTTACAGATGAGGAGACTGAGCCCAGAGAGGGCGAGTAATTTGCCCTAGGTCACACAGCTAGTGAGGAGTGGGGCTGAGGCAGCACACTGACAGTGGCACCACCACACCCCACTCGGCCTGCGGATGGGCTGCGCCCCTCAGCCTCGACGGAGTTGGCGTCTTGTCTGAGCCGCCATTCGGCCCTTCCTGGGCGGTGTGTCACTGCACTAAGAGGACAGTGTGGAGGGGCGGTGGAGAGCTGGCCAGGCCCAGGGACTCAGCACGGAGCCAGCCCTGCGCAGGTGGCCCTGGCTCATTTCATGGCAAACGGGGGTGGATGGAGTGGATGGAGCACCATGGTGCACCCAGGGGCAGGGAACACTGAGGGGCCAGGCCCCGCCGTCCTCACCAGGCCCGGCTGCCCTCCTGGCAGCTATGGGGTGCATGTGGGTGGGCGGTAGCCTGATCTGCGGGACAGGAAGTGGCTCTGCCTGGTGAGTTCGGGGAAGCTGCCCCTGCTCTGTGGCCTCTTGGTATAAACAAGGCCTGGAACCCCGCAGCGCCACATGGAGCCTCTTGGAGTGGACGGGACGTGTGGACCGATCTTCCCCCTGAGCCACACCAGTGTGTAGGGGGGTGGCCTTGTGGGCAGCTGGGACCTCAGGGCTAGCAGAGTGGCCTTGGGTCGCATTTCACCTCTCTGAGCCACTCAGTAGAACAGTCCTGGGAGCAGGGGTGTCAGTGCCCATGTTGGGGTGGCTGTAAGCCAGGGGCGGTGGCATATGCCTGTGATCTCAGTACTGGGAGGCTGAGGCAGGAGGATCTTGACGCTCAGGGTGGAGCTGCCTGGGTCCTCAGGCTCCCCAGGGCCTCAGCTGCTCACTTTCCCCCACCTCACAGGCCCTGTTCCCCTCCCTCCCCTGCCAGGACGTGGCCACCATGCAGTTCTGTGCCAACAAGCTGGACAAGAAGGATTTTTTCGGGAAGTCCGACCCCTTCTTGGTGTTCTACCGGAGCAACGAGGACGGAACGTGAGTGGCTGTGCCTCCCGCACAGCTGGGGTCGGTGGGGGTGGGGCTGCCTGCAGAGCCCTGCTGTGGGGGGCCTCGGCCGTGGTGGGTGGCAGCTATGTCTCTGGCCAGCGGGCAGGAATGAGGGGCATAGCGCGTTCATTGTCCTGCCCTGTCTGCACCGCCCCCGGGCTGACCCCACTGTGGTCCTCCCAGCTTGGCAGCTGTGACGGAAACACACAGCCGTGGGCAGGTGCGGGTCAGCAAGCAGTATGCCCGTTGGGGGCTGGGGATTTAGCTCAGCAGCACAGCGCCTGCCTGGCAAGCGCAAGGTCGTGAGTTCGATTCCCGGTACCGGAAAAAAACAAAAAGCAAAACAAGCAGTGTGCCCGCAAAGGCGGGTTCTGGGCTGACAGTCCGGGAGCTCCACCCGCCTACTGACCTGCTGTGTGGCCCTGGCAAGTTACAGCCCCTCTCTGGGCCTGTTGTTTTCTCCCACCACGTGAACCAGTAGGACTGGCTTTGGAGGGAGAGGGAGAGGGAGCCGATGGGTCCGGGGCGGGCGGGCGAGAGAAGAGCTGCCAGCAGGTGTGTGCAGAGCGCACCGGGCCTTCCTTTGGGCTCCTGGATTCCAGAGTGCAGGGTGTGTGTGGGTGTGAGTGTGCATGCGTGCGGGTGACAGCAGCAGGGGGGAGGCTTCAGTTCCAGCGAAAACTGAGTGAAAACCGAGCTGCAAAACGGGGAAATTAGGTGCGATCATTTGCATGACAAAAGAGTCTTTGTCTCACGGAGGACTCCCGGCAGGGCTGCTTTAAATAATTCCTGTTGACTTCGCCTGGGCGGGCGGTGGGGGAGGAGGAGGAAGATGTGGCTCTGGGTGACCACAGATGTCCCCTCCAGGCCCGGCTGGGTGGCCAGAGGAGAGGAGGGCGACGAGCAGCTGGAGGGGCCACCGCAGGGGCGGGGGTGCTGGCCGTGCAGGGCTGGGGGGCGGGGGAGGCTCCTGGCTGACTTGGGGAGCGCTGCAGCTCCAGTGTTGGGGGCACAGGGACAGAAGATAGTGCGGGCGCCAGGTCGGAGCCTCCTCCCTGGTAGCAGAGCCGGGAACCCGGGGTGTGGGGATGGCAGAGGGGCGAAGGGCCGTGGGACTGCCTTCGGAGCTGTCCAGGGGGGACACCGAACTCGGGGGACCCCGCAGGACACTGGAGAAGCCGACCCAGGGCGGTCAGGAGGGGCCAAGAGAGGAGGCAAAGGAGAGACAGCAGCCCTGAGCTGGATGTTGGTGACTTCGGGGTCAGGAGGGACAGGAAAAGCACCTGCCAGGCCGCCTGCCGCCCCGCGCCTGCACTGCCCTGGAGCTGAGCGGCTCTGGGGAACCCAGCCGGCCCTCGGGGCTCTGAAGTGTTGTCACCCTGCCCAGGACCGCAGGTGTCATCGCTCTCCATGGGGGGCTGCTGAGCACCGGGGTGGGGTCAGTGCAGCCTCAGAGCTCCATTTTCACTTAATTAAACTTAAGTAGCAGGGTGGCCGCCTTTGTGGGCAGCATGGCGCCCACCTCTCCGTGAGCGCGTCTGCTCCGTGCCCCGTGGGCATCTCCCTGCTCCTCCCTCTCAGGGGTGCTGGGAAGGCGGCCGAGTGGCGCGTGAAATGGTGCAGGGCTGGGCAGCGTTAGCAGCGTTCTTAGCCCTCATTTCCCACTGCGAGAAGGACGCTCAGAGAGGGACAGATGCCGGTCCGGGGATGCACAGCTGGCACACGGCGGCCAGCCCCGATCACAGCTGTCTGACTGTTGGGCAGCAGCCTCCACACCTGTCAGACCTTCGCAGGAAGCCCCGCTCTGCTCCGGAGAGAGGGCAGGCCTGGGGTTTGTTCACAGCGGCCTGGGGAGCTCCAGGCCCAGGAAGAAAGGAAGGAGGAGCCAGGCTGACAGCTTGGGAGCGCGGCCAGGAAGCCGGGCCGCCACGGGAGGGGAGAGGCCTGCGGCTCACTGGGGAGGGTCCCGAGGCCGGTGGCAGTCCGCACCACCCAGCTTCACGCTCCCAGTCAGTCATCCCTGCGGCCCAGCCTGTGGCGCATGTGCTTGCCTGCGCAGGGAGGGCTCCCACGCGGATCCCCACTCCCGTGGGCGGGCGAGAAGGAGCAGAGAAGACAAGCGCCGAGCCCCGGTGACAGGAGTGACATTTTGACTTGAAAATTGCCAGAGAAGAAATGGCACAGGCGTGTGGGCACGGGCGGGGCCTGGCACTTACCCGGTGACCTTTCCAAGCTGGGTGGCGCTGGGGCACACGCCTAACTCCGCAGCAGGGCTGGCTTTTGAGACGTGGCCGGCTGGTGTGGCACGGGGGGAGGGGGTGGTCAGGGATTCTGGGTTCACCCTTTCCAGTGGCGCAGCCTGTTCACAGATGTGACTGGGCAGGAGGTGGGGTCCTCCAGGTCAGAGCTTTGATTTCACTGGACTGAAATGCCAGGGAGAAGCGGGGCAGGCTGGTGCAGACCTGTAATCGCAACACTCAGGAGGCTGAGGCAGGAGAATGGTCATGAGTTCAAAGACAGGGCTACAGAGTAAGACCCTGCCTCAAAATAACTGAAAAAAAATGGGCCGGGTATGGTGGCACATGCCTATAATCCCAGAACTCAGGAGGCTGACGCAGGAGGATTGTTGCAAGTTTGAGACCAGCCTGGGCTACAAAGTGAGCTCAAGGCCAGCCTGAACTACATAGCGAGACCCTTTCTCAAAAAGATAAGTAAAAAAAAAAAGCTGAGGGAAGCTATAAAACCCCTGAGAAACACATTTATTCATTGGTACCAGTCAGTGGGGGCATAATAGTGATCAAAACACATAAAACTCATTGGCCAGAGGGGCACACATCTGTACTCCAAGCATTTGGGAGGCTGAGGCGGGAGGATGGTGAGCTACATAGTAAAACCTTGTCTAGGAAAAAAAAAGACAGAACACTTTGTTCTTAAGGAGTGGCAGCTCATGAACAGAATAAATAAGGAAAAAATAGACTGTCAAAATGTCAAATGGTGACAAATGAAACAAAAAGTACAGAAGGAGGCTAGGGCTGTCGGAGTTGGGGCCAGGAGGGTGTGGGTTTGGGCGGTGTGGTCAGGGGAGTGTCTGGAAGGTGACATCGGACCCGACAGGATGGGGTGGCTGTGAAGGTGGGGCAGAAAAGGGACAGCAGGTGTCCACAGCCCTGCTGCCCATCTCCCCACCGTTCTTTGCGGCTGTCTGGTCTCAGCCTGGCCGCTGCCAGCGTGGGGCCCTGTCGCCTTCACAAGCCGGGGTCACCGTCTTGCGGCCTGTCCTCAGCCTGACACGCGTCCCCTTCTGTCCTTGCCAGGTTCACCATCTGCCACAAGACCGAGGTCATGAAGAACACCCTGAACCCCGTGTGGCAGACCTTCTCCATCCCCGTGAGAGCGCTCTGCAACGGGGACTACGACCGGTGAGCGAGAGCCCCGGGTTCCTCCCCCGGGCGCAGGGGACCCCGTTCCCGTCGGCCATGTGGCCGTCCAGTCAGTGCGCACGCACGGGGGCTCCTGGGGGCAGGAGGCTAGGGCTGTCGGAGGGTCCGCACCACCCGCACCCAGGTGGTGCACGGGGGCTCCTGGGGCCGGGGCTGGCGCCTGCTGAGCCACCTGCACCCACCCTCTGCCTCCGCACCTCCTTCTTCCTGTCCTGCACCCGGTGTGGGAACTCCATGGAGGTAGCGCGTGTGTGCCTGGGGTCCCGGGCAACCCAGATGGTGTCTGAAGACAGGCGTCCTTGCTTCTGGCACCAGACTGGCAGGTGGAGGGATTAGATTAGTGGAGTAGCAGAGTAGCCAGTCCCTGCCAGCCTCAACTTCCGGTCAGGGGACTCTGGGCTATCTCTCACCAGCCCTGTGGCCTTATGTGAGGGGTGGGATGAGGGCCTTCGGGGTGCTGACATAGCCCACCAGCCGTCATCACTGCCAACACCATCACCATCATGGAGGGCGCCACATTGAGTGTAGACCCACGTGCCTGGTTCCGCTCCTGACCGTGACCAGCGAGCCCTGCCAACCCAGACTGCTGGGCCTTGTTCTCCGGATCTGCAGCGGGGAATCAGAACTTCCACCTGCTTCTTGGGGTTGGTTTGATGCTCCCACGACCCCCTGCCCCCATACACGGGGGCCCTGGGGTCTGAGGTACCAAGGCCAGCATCGCTCCTCCCATCTCCTGAGCCCCCGCCCGCCGCGTGCCAGGCACTGCCCTGGGTGCCGGGAAATCAGCAGGGAAGACACACACCGTCGTCACCCTCCACAGCCCCACAGGGTGTAGCTGCTGTGGGGAGGCGACGTTAATCCGATAATCACACAGAGAAACATATCATTACCCACACTGTAAGTGCCGGGAGGTGGGGGCCGTGCCAGGCGGGCACTGCCAGATCGTGCTGGGCTGTGTTGTCACTGGAGCCACCCTGGTTCCTGGTGATGGCGAGGTCGGGTGGGCGAGCCGGTGGGGCCCTCAGCAGCCTTGGGAAGTTGGGTCCCCCCTACCCACTCCGGCAGAGGCACTGGGACATCCGGACAGACACGTAGGCATCACCACAGCTGCTAGGTAAATGCAAGGGGGACATCATCCAAGCACACATCTCCCTGAGGCCGGGCATCTGACACAAAGTGGCTCCTTTTCTGCCACTTGCCAGGGAATCATCGTGTACCTCCTGTGTGCCCAGCACTGTGCCCCTAGCCACGTGGCATCCGAGGGCAGGCGGCTGTGTTTCCATCTCCAGGGAGTGTGGGATGTGCATGTGTATTTTAAATAACTGCATAATCGTGCAGCGTGAGATTGGGGGCGAACATAGGTATTCCAGCAGCTCGTGGTGGTGCGTGCTTGTAATCCCAGCTCTCTGGGAGGCTGAGGCAGGAGAATTGCAGGTTCAAGTCCAGCTGTGGCAGCTCGGTGCTTTAGCAAGCCCCTGTCTCAAAATATAAAATAAAAAATAACAAACCTGAGGGTGGAGCTCAGTGTGAAGGCCCTGGGTTCAGTCCCCGCTACAGCCAAAAAGAGAAAAGAGAAAAAGGAAAAAGACCCCTGGCTGAGTCCTGGGGTTTTTTAGTGGGGCAGGGGCCAGCAGGAGGCTCAGGGAAGGCTGGAAAGGAAAGTGCATCCCACGGCAGGGCCCGCCCCCGCCAGGAGATGCGTGTCAGGTGGAAGGGGTTGGGGGAGCCCAGCCTGAGCCCAGCCTGAGTCTGGCTCTCTCCCTCCGGCATGGCCACAGCCAGCTCCCTTCTGAATGGCAGGAACCAAATTGGTGGTCACGTGACTGACTGCGTTTAATCCAGGGTCGCTGGGGAGGTGCTGCATACCAAGCCCCCAGGGTAGGCGGGGGAGGGTGCAGGACAGCGAGGTCTCTGTCCCCTCCTCCCAGCTGAGCTGTGTTCAGCCCCGCTGCCGGGGACCGAGGGGCTGGGGGGACCCGCCTGTCATCACCCCCTGGTTTGCAGGAGGATCGAAAGTTTGAGCCCAGCCTGGGCAACTTAGCACCACAGCAGGACCTTGTCTCAAGATAAACACTAGAAAGGGGTTGGGGTTTAGCCAATACTTCACTCCCCAGGGTCAGGGAAGGAGAAAGCGGTCCGGAGATTGAGAGGACCGCAATCAGGGGCAGAGAGGGTGCCGGCTCACTGTTCCTGGAGAGGCACAGGGGCCCCGGCCAGGGCAAGCACTTCCCCTGTGACTTGAGGGTTTGTCCTCGCTGAGCCAGATCCTCCCGAGTCGGGCCGCTGTCCCTCACGTTCCAACACCGACAGCAGATTTTCAGAGGGGACAGTGGTCCCTGGAGCTTGGGGCTCTAACGTCCCCGCAGTCCCGGTCCCTGGGGCATGGAGGCCTTTCTCCTGGACATCCCCACGTGCTGTGTCCGGGCGGGCCGGCCTGGTACACATGGGTGAACCGAGTCTCTGCAGACCAAACCAGCGCCTGGCCCTCCCGCCCTTCCCGCCCCTCTCACTGCCCCCACTAGCCTTGTGGTGCTAAACGCAGTGCTGGTTTTGTGTCCGCAGAGGCAGGAGCCGGTTCTCTTGGGCACTGTCCCTGGGTCACGGCGGGCCTGTGCTAAGGGGTTGGGGGCCAGGGCAGAGGCACCTGCAGTGGCCTGGGTCAGCCCAAGGGCTGCAGCAGATCTGTAAATCACAGTGTCTGACTCCTTCCCAGCCTCCTCCAGGGTCACAGTGCCAGCCTCTGAGAACATCAGACCCCAAGTTATTGTGTAGCAAACTTACTCTCACCTGCTTGCTCAAATTTAGGCTCAAATTTAGGATCCTCCTGCCTCAGCCTCCCAGAGCCCTGGGGAGCTTTTAACAATCACCACTGGACCAATCAATTGTGAATCTCTGGGGTGAAGTATCAGCCTCACCTTCTGTATTTTTAGAGCTCCCCAGGGGACCCACAGCCCAACCAAGTGTGGAAACCTGCGCTTGGGTCTGGAGGAGGCCCGAGGCTGTGTCTGCAGGGAGAACTCACTGGCACTCCGCCCCCGTCCTGTCTAGCCGGACCAATTAAATGAGGCCCTCTGGCCGTGGGGTTTCAAAGTCTCCCTGGTGATGTGTGGCTCTTCGGGGCTGTCACCTCTTCTGGGCCCATGCATTTTCACCCATCTCAATGCCTGCAGAGCTGCAGAAGGAGCGAGCCCTTGCGGGGGTCCCTGGGGTCCCCTGCAGTGGTGGGAGATACGGGGGCAAGGGCCCAGCCTCGGAGCAGCGGCTGCAGTCTGGGCCGGAGGGAGGCAGGCACTTGCTCCAGCCCTGGCTCAGCCCCTCGCAGAGCCCATGGGGACCAGGGCAGCTCACATTTGGGGTCCCTGAGGGCTCAGTTTCGCCATCAGAAAATGCCATCGCCCCAGGCCGTGCGCAGGTCGGGCACCAGGGACTCCTTTCAAACTGGCTCCTGATTTTCAAAATTTAAGAAGGGCTGGGACTGAGCTTAATACTGGGTTCAATCCTCAGAGCTACAAAACATTTTTTTAAAAAAGGTTTATTTAGCTCAGGGAGGTTCCACAGCTGGGGTTCCAGCAGGCGAGCCGTGGGCACCCCGCTCTGCTGCTCAGCCTTCCCCCGCTCTTCCCAGCCTCCCAGCCCGCCTTCAGCAGCTTCGTTTATTTATTTATTTTGCCTTTTCTAACTAACCGACCTGAGAGAGACATTTTTGCTGTTCCTTGCAAGTGTGAAAGGATTTCTTTAAGCAGCGAGCATCTCCGCCTGCCCCGTTTACGTAAGTCCTGGCTGACAGAATCCAGTCGGCACTGCCTTTGGGCATCCCTCCCTCCATCCTGGAAGTTTCTGCCCCACAGCGCCCCAATCCCAGGGAGGCGCAAACGCGGGGACACAGCGCCTCCTACTGGTGGTCACGGAACCCCAAGGCTGACTCCCTGCAGCCAAGGAATGGATTAGTATAAGAAGCAAATTCAAGCTATCTTGTGCGCCTCGTTTGGGGCTGGCTAAAGCCTGGGGCCTCTGCTCCTCGGGCTTCTCTCGCCTGCTCAGACCCTGTCGGGGACCCTGCGAGCGCCCCTGGACCCGGGTATCCCCCAAACAAAACAGCAGGCACCAAGGGTTAACCAGCAACCCTCCACCTCTCCTGCCTCTGGTCCGCTCGCTTGTTGCCATGGAAACGTGGCTAAAAATAAACCGGGCTCTGGAAACCCAGCCCCATGCATAGGAGTCAAAACAAACTAATTAAAGCAGCCAGGCTAAAATGTGAAGATAATTACACCCTCACTCAGGAGCCAGTCGTGGGGATGGATGAAGGCCATGTCAGGGCCCTGGGCTCAGCCCCAGCCCATGTCCTCACCCTCAGACCCCTGGGGCCCAGGGCCGGCCAGCCGGTGTCCTTCTCCATCCCCAGGCCCCTGCCCTGAGGCTGGCCCCGCTCTCACTCCCAGCCCTGGAAGATGCGAGGCTCAGCATGACTTCCTACGGGGGCTGACTTCCTTCTGGGGTGGCCAGGACGAAGTGGGGTGAACTGAGGCCTGGGCCTGTTGTCCCCACATCCTCCTCGACATTCCAGGCAGCCCGGAGGTGGCTCGGCAGCTGCCTCTGTCCCTGAAAGCTTTGCCGAAAGGTCCCGAGGTGGTTGCCCCGTCCCCCACGCCCGCCCCAGGCCCTGAGCTTGCGCCCGCCCTGGTCCAGGCCTCAGGCAGCGCTGTTTGTCTTTCAGGACCATCAAGGTGGAGGTGTATGACTGGGATCGGGATGGCAGGTAAGCGGGCAGGAGGGCGAGGGGCAGCAGGCGGGTGGGGCTGGGGGGCCCTGCCCACATGGAGGGCTTCGCGGGGGAAACACACTTCTGGAAATCCAGCCTTGGTAGGTGCTGGCCGCCCCTGAACACCCCGCATGTGCATTCTCCTGGCTGGCCCTGTAGGGTGGCCGAGGTTGAGGAGGTGACTCCCCACAGCCGGGTTGTGGGCCCAGTGGCACATGCACAGCCCCCGGCTCATGGGAGGAGACGTGTGCAGAGGGCAGAGGTAGAGGCGGCCCGGTGCCTTCGTGTGGACTTGAGCCCAATGAAGTGCCTGGCAGAGGAAAGTGAGTCCAGTCAGGATGCCAGTGCTCCGAAGGGCCCGTGTGCTGGGACTCACACACAGGACAAGAGCAGGCCTCGAAGGGCCAAGCCCAAACCTGTCATCCAGATTCTGCCCGCCTCCCTGCAGGGGCACTACCGCAGAGCGACCTGGGGGACTTCCTAATCCCCATCCTACTGCCCAGGTGTGCTGCGGTGCAGACAGGGCTGATGCGTCATCTTGTGTAACACTACTCAAATGGAGCTCTGGGTTAGGCCCATGCCTTCTCTGTGAGAAACTGTAGCACCCATATTATCTGTGAGTTCACCCTCCTTGCCTCACCTTTAATTTTTAAAAATTTTTTTGGCTTGTTTTATTTTTTGAGACAGAGTCTCACTGTGTAGTCCAGGCTGATCTTGAACTTGTTTTGTAGCCTCAGACTCACAGCAATCCTCCTGCCTCAGCCTCCAGGGTGCTGGGATTATACCACCACACCTGGCCTTCCTTACCTCTTTAACCTCTTTAACTTCTTGTCTAGCCTCATAGCCAGACAAGTTAGTTCTAGTGCCCACCACGATTTTCCCTGTTCTACCCTGGCATTCCTAATGCTTCAGCTTTATTTGGACTGTGTCTTCCATGGCGGCCGAGGATAGCCAGCAGGTGCCACTTGGTCCTTCTGTCAAGTTTCCAAATGCCCTGGGACACCTGCTGGGCATTATTGTGCAGCTGGAGACCCCTGACTACCCAAGTGACCACTGCCTTCCAGCAGCAGCAGGGCAGTGGATGGGGTCCCCCAAGCGTGGGACTGGCAGGCATGAGCCTGCGAAAAGTGCCCCTCTGCGTGGCTGACACAGCCCTGGTCATTTGTTTAAAAAACTTTATTGGATATGTTGGGGTGCAGCTCGGTAGAAAATCACTTGCCTAGCACGTTGAAAGCCTTGGGTTCAATCTCCAGCCCCAGCAGAAATAAAAAGAGCTCAGCACAGTGATGGACACTTGTAGTCCCAGCTGCTGGTGAGGCTGAGGCTGAGGCTGAGGCAGGAGGGTCACTTGAGCCCAGCCTGGGCAACTTAGGAACATTCCATCTCCAAAAAAAGAAAGAAGAAAAAAACCTTAAAGAATATTGTTGCAGACAATGTCAAATACACAGAAGAGTAGAAAGAAGAGTTTAATGAACAGCTTTAAGCCCAAGGCTTAAATTTTACAATACTTCAATATCACTATATTTGCTTTAATCTGTGTTTTGCTTGAGTAGGTTAAAGTAAATGACATGGTGGCGTTTCTGCCTTTAAATATTTCCTTGGGAATGGAATGTCTGAGAAATAAGGTTATTTTCCCTCATAGCTACAAATGCCATTGTCACCTGCAGCACCCTGAACAATAATTCTTAAATACCACCGGATATCTATTTCACATGCGGATTTCCCACAGTCATGCCCCAGATACCTTTTATGCAAACAAGAGTCCAAGTGGAAGTGGGTCCCTGCTCCGTCCCTGCAGGTGACCCTGGGCTGTCTTTCTTTCGGGGACCTCGCTTCACTGCAGACCCATGGCCTCACTTGGAGTGAGGCCTGGGCGGCCTTGGAGCCTGGGGAGGGGCACGAAAGAGGCTGGGTCTGGGTGGATCCCGCCAGAGCCCGCTTCCCTTGCAGCCACGACTTCATCGGGGAGTTCACCACCAGCTACCGCGAGCTGGCACGCGGGCAGAGCCAGTTCAACATCTACGAGGTGAGCGGCCCCATCGGTCGGGTGTGGCGCGCCGGTGCCTGGCGCCTGGTCCTTACAGGGGCTGTTGTGAGCTCCGCGAGGCTGCTGGGGCTGTGGGTGCTTTTGCATGGTGGGGGGGTGGTTGCTGAGGGCCGATGCTGCAGTCTCGGAGAAGGGCGCGAACTTGCCCAGGCGTCTGTGGCTCTGTAGGTTGCAGAATCGGGAGGCAGCCGACTTGCCTGGTTCTGGGTGACCCCGTCATAGCATTTCTGGTAAGAAGTTTCCGAGGGCTGGGGTGCAGCTTAGGGGCACAGCACGTGCCCAGCGTGCACAAGCCCCTGACTTGGGTTCAGTCCCCGACTCCAGAAAGAGAACGTTCCAGGCTCGGGACCTGAGGTCCAAGTCCAAGGCAGCCCTGTGCCTCAGAAGTTCCAGGGAGGCCTGGTGCTGACCTCTTCCAGAAGGAAGAGGCCGGGGGAACAGGTGTCGGGAGCCCCTCTGCAGGTGCGGGCGCCGGATCACCCTGGACAGAACTGCCCTGGCCTTGAGGGCCATTTCCGTGCCTGCGCGTTTGCTGTGTGTGCGCCCCGCCGCCGCCCTCCGTGGCATCCAGCTGTGGCTGGGCTCCTGCTCCTCCAAGCACCCTTCCTGCTCCCCCCAGTCGTCCTGGCTTGGTGCGCTCTCCCGCTCCTAAGCTTCCACGGCCAGCACCATTCACGCCGAGCCCAGGTCACAGCAGATGTTCACAGGCCCATCACAGAGGGTTCACACCCTGCCAGCTCTGGGACCCTGGCTGAGTCCCTGAACGGCTCTGTGCCACGTGGACTGAGCTGCAATGAGCTAATGGAGCAGTGCCCGGCCCTGACATCAGCGCCAGCAGATTCTCATTCGTGGCCCTGTGCCCCCACCCCAGCAGCCACTCAGCCCCTGAGTCCTGTCACAGGGCCAGGTCCTCCCACCTCAGCGGCCTCGTCCTGCCTCTCTGTCCCAGCCGGCAGGGCTGGTGTCCCAAGCAGGCAGCTCCGTGGCTCTGGGTGGCCTCCCCACCCCGGCACCGCTGGTCCCCACTAGGTGCTGTGCAAGGTGGAGGTGGCAGAGTTGCTCTGAGGGAACTCTGACATCGTCATCTGCTTTGTTTCTGCACCCCTCAGGGTAGGGGGTGTCTGTCCCCCCAGCCCAGGCGGGGACAGGCGGACTCCACTTTCCTCCTCAGAGCGCTTTAGGGAGTGGGTGGTAGAGTTTGGCATCCAGAGGTGCTTGGCAGGCTCCGCAGAGCACAAAGCAGGAACACTGGCTTGACCTGTTCTCCCGGGCGTTGGTCTCTGCTGCTTTGCCATCGGCCAGAGACAGTGCTGTGGGAGGCAGAAGGCTGTCTTCACGTTCACAGCGGCCCTGTGGAAAAGGGACTCAAGTCTGGGAGTTACAGGGCAGGCGCTGGGAGCAGGTTCCTCCGGGCAAGACCGCACAGACCTCCCAGGGGAAAGGACGGAGGGGTCCCTGCCGTGTCCCGTGAGGCCCCGAGACCAGGGCACGGCTTGACCACAAAGAGCGTGGATGCTGGGGGTGCAGTGAATGGCGAGCCGACCCTGAGGCTGGAGAGAGCTGTTCCTCGGAGCCTGGGGCTGCTCCGGAGCCCTGGGGACCACCTCGGAGCAAGGGCCCAACACCCTCGTGGAACAGAGGGGGAAACTGAGGCACGGTGTGGGATCAGGCTGCCGTTTTGCCTTCGTCTCAACACCTGGATAGGCTGCTTCCCCACACACGTGTCCGCCAGCCCCTGGGCCTCAGGGCAGCCCAAGGCCTTCGGGGTGGCGTCCCCAGTGCCAGCAGCTCACCTAGGCCGCAGTGTCCACCGGCAGAGCCCTCCAGCCCTCCCGCCTGGACCTCCTCCCGACTCCAGAGCCAGCCCTCTGTGTGTGATCGCTTCTTATTTTTTCCTCTCCCTATTTTTTACTGCCAGCCCCGCGCCCCTGGGGATTGAACCCAGAGCCTTCCCACTGAGCTACATCCCCAGCCCATAGTGTATTCTTTTATTTTGAGACAGGGTCCCATTAAGTTGCTGAGTTGGTCAGGCTAGGCTCGAACTCGAGATCCTCCTGCCTTGGCCTCCCAGAGTCCTGGGATTGCAGGCAAGTGCATTCCCACGCCCGGCTGGTGGTCACTTCTTCACAGGCCGTGCTCACCCTAGCTGGGGCCCTGCCGCAGCACCCTGCAGGTCCTCCTTACCTGTCGCCAGTTTTACCCTGGTGGCAGTAAGCCTGCTGGGATCTTACCCCCTGCGGGCGTAGTGGTCACCAAGCGCCCTGCTGAGTGACATTTGGACATTGTGCCTGGCACTCGGGGCTCCCTTGCAGCCGTGCCCCCTTACCCTTCCACCCAGTTCTGTGCCCCCCGCATCATCTCGTGTGAGTCTGAGCTCTCCACGTGTATGCCACTGTCCCCGGGACCTGCCTGCCTGCCTTCAGCACCTGGAGTGGCCTTTCTTTCCTCAGCCCCCCTGCCATCTCCCATGTCCGTTTTGGTAGCCTTTGTCACTGATGGCCTTAAACACTTACCTTCTCCAGGGGGAGGATGGTTCCTGAGGTCAGGAAGTGGAATTCCCGCCTTGCCTCGTGGAGACTGTTGAAAGGGTGTCACCGAGGGGGCTTCCCTTTGTGTGTGTATCACTGCCTGGGGGCAGGCAGGATGCCTGGTTTCCAGTCCTCGGTTGCCCCAGTGGCTGTGTGACCCGGGATCTCTGGCCCGTGTTCCTCACCTCGGGAAGTGGGTGTCAGTCCTCACCGGGAGGGGTGAAGTGAGTTCACCCAGAACCAGCAGGCCGCAGAGTGGGCGTGAAAACCGCCAGCTCTGTGCTGAGACCCGCGGAGGGCTGTGCCTCACCGCCGCTGCCTGTGGACAGAGCTGGGGGCGGGGGGCTCCAGTTGCACACAAACAGAAAGGGTGCAAGTCCTCTGGGCTGGTCGGGGCGAGGTGGCCTTCCTCACCAGTGACCCTTGGGTCGGGTGCTTCTTCGTTCTGGGGCTGTTCTATGTGTCCCAGGGTGTTCACCACCCCCTGGCTGCCACCTGCTCCCCGAGTTGTGACACCCAGCTGTCCCCAACTCTCTCCAGGCGGCAGTCACCCCAGGTTGAGATCCCTGATTTATCCCACTACCAAGTCCTTGGTGAGCACCTACTGTCTGCCCGGCCTGGCATTTATTGTCTGACGAACACTAGCAAGAACACTTGAGGGGTTCTCACGGCACAGCAGGGGGCAGGGGCAGAGCCCGCAAACCGGAGGAGGAGCCAGAGGACGGGGCTGAGGGAAGAGGGGACACTGGGGGTGAGCAGTGCAGCCTGACCCAGTGACAGGCGCGGGCAGGGCAGCGGCTTTGTGAATTGAGCCACCTTCGGCTTCCCCGGGGTGGAGGGCGCGTTTGGGGCGCAGCCGAAAGGCAGGAAGGTGAAATCCACAGTCCTGGTGTGTGTGATCGTGACACACCGGGGAGCCCTGTTGTGTAACTGGATGCCAGCCTCCCACAGAACCCCTGGAGCCCCAGTTCCCTGGCTCCCACAGTCCTCTCCTGGCTGGCTCTGGGGCTCTGGGGCCCCAGCCACACCCGGGGGTTGGCGGCAGCTCCAGGGCCCAGCCCTGACAACTGGAAACGTAACCAGATTTTCCTACAGGTCATCAACCCAAAAAAGAAAATGAAGAAAAAGAAATACGTGAATTCTGGCACGGTGAGTAATCAAATCACCCCTCTCCCTGCAGCGGGGTGGAGACAGTCTGAGCCCCAAGCTAGGTCTGCTGTCGGGCAGCCCCGGGCGGACAGCTGCCTGCCTGCCTGCCTGTGCGGGACGTGGGACTCCGACTTGGTGGGGTGGGCAGGGGACGCGGCAGCCTCCAGGGAGACAGCGCAGACCGCGTCAGAGGTGCTGCCCGGCAGCAAGCAGCAAGCCTTGCAACGAGACAGCCCGTGGGGCCTCCTGGCAGAGGGAGGAAGAAGAGGAAGAGGAAGAGAGGTCCTGGGATGGGCTTTCCCTGAGAGGCAGAGCGTTCCCTGACAGGCAGGCAGATCTCAGCACCCGCTGGCCTTGAAGAGGAAACCAGGCTTCGGGCCGAGAGGTGACTCTCTCGGGGTCACAGAGCTGGAAGGCAGTGGGGATGGCATCGATACCTGCGATTCCAAATGCTCCAGGTGCTGCCTGCCACTGCCTGCCTGTGCCCACCCGGGGCAGCACACTGGTGCTGTGGCATCTTGGGCCTGAGCCCTAGGTCGTTCTTGCATTTCGTTTGTTTCTTTTTGAGTCAGGGCCTTGTTATGTAGCCCAGGCTGGCTTTGAACTCTCCATGATCCTCCTGCCTCAGCCTCCCGAGTGCTGGATTACAGGCATGCGCCACTGTCCCCCCTGGCTTTCTCTCTGCGCATGTAACCTGGTTGTATGATAACCTCTGCCTGCTTCGGGGTAACACTACTGAGCTTCGCTGGGGAACCCCCCTCTCGGGACTCCTCTTCCTCTGCCATGAGCCCCTGCAGGCAGGCGGTCTTGCTGCCATGCTAGGTGGGTGCTGGGCAGCCGCTCTGATCCCGTGCCTTACCCCCTGCCCCCGGGCCACTTCCTTGTTTGTAAAGTGAGGCTAATGAATCACCCCTGCCCTGCTTGTGCCTGGGGTAGCGCGGAGAGGCACGTAGGAGAGGCAGGCGTATGAACCGTAGAGCACCTGCTCGCCCCGGGGGATGGGCCACAGCCATAGCTGGTCCTTCTTTGGTCATAGCTGCTTGTGGGGTGCTGCAGGCACTGGGGCAGGGAATCCTTCATCTCCCGGGACTTCCCCACAGAGGTAGGCTGGCTGGCATCCCTGCCTTCTGCCTGTGACTGTCGTAGAGCCCCAGTCACTTGAGAACTCCCCAAATTCTCCCATACTTTTCTCGGTGCCCTTGGGAGAGGCAGCGCCTGCCTCGCAACTCCTGGATGTACAGCGAAAAATAAAAAAGTTCAGAACCCACTGGTCTCAGACTTTAGAGATGAAGAAACCCTGGCCTGAAGAGGGGACGTGGTTTGTCCTGGGTCGCACAGGGGGGTGGGGATAGAGCGGGCCTGGCTCCAGGTCTCCTGGCTTTCCTTTGCTCCAGCAGATGTGAAATGCAGGTGCCTGGACCACTTCCCTGGGGTTCTGTTCTAGGAGACCCAGGCCGGGGCCCTGGAATGTGTATTTTGTGCTTTTCCTTCTTTCCTTACACCTGGGGAATCGCAGGGGGCTCTCGTTAAAACTGCAGGTTCTGCGTCTCTTTGAGTAGCAAGGCCCTGAACCATCTAACCTGCGCCCATTCCAGGCCACAGGTTAGACTCTCAGGAGGAGCTGAATAAAGGTCCCTGAACTCAGCTGTCCACCTGCAGACGCTGATGTGCTCGGTTTGGGGTCCCCACCTGGGCTGCCAGATGTTTCCCAGTTCGTCTAACGAGGGGGAGTCAGGGTTAAGTCGAGCCATGGCCCATTCCTGCGAGTCTGAGCCAGCACACCTGGGAGGAGGCTCTGTTGGTCCTCCTGGCACCCGACACTGTGGTCACCATGGGTGGGGTCCCTGGGCCCTGCTCAGCACCCACAGACCCTCCCATCACCCAGGCCTGTGAGTGATGGGACAACAGCTTGCTTTGTCCTGCACGGGGCGATGGCAGTGGCGGTATCCTCACCAGCAGGGGGCGCCCTAGTTCCCCGTGGAGGAACTGGTTCCCTTCCCGGGTGCAATGCATAGGCCGCCTCCTCGAGTCAGCCTTGGAGGCCAGGTTTCCTCGGCTCTGTGACCAGAAATCCTTATCGCAGTGGCTTCCTGTCTTGGCAAAGCTGATGTCAAAGGTACCAAGGGACAGAGAGCAAGAAAGAGGCCTCTTCCCGGGAGAGGATGCCAGGGACAGCACAGGCTGCGCGAGGGTCTCGGGTCCCAGGTGGAGCCCGAGCGACCCCAGAGGGAAGAGCTGGCACAGGGAAGGCGGGAGCCAAGCACAGACCTGAGGCACGTGCCATGGTTCGCTGTGGCACATGGCGGGCTGGTTGGCGTTGTGGGCAGTGGCCCTCCGTGTCCTGCCCTCGGGTCTTGGGGCTCCCCTGCCCTTGCTCGAGGCTCCTACGTTCCAGGGACAGGTGGGACCGTTGATGCAGTGTGGCGTCGTCCGTCCCCACCGTGCCGCGTCCTGGCAGCGCTGCGTCGCCTCCTGGAGCCTCACGCCCCTGGCTGTGAGAGGGTGCACGCGTGCTGCTTCACAGGCTCGTCATGGGCGCACAGGCGGCAGTGTGCCGAGGGGTCGGCACGGCTCAGCTGCAGTGTCAGATCGTAAAGCGCGCCCCCTGCCGGCTCCCCGCCAACCAACTCCCCCTGTCTTCCAGGTCACCCTGCTGTCCTTCGCCGTGGAGTCTGAGTGCACCTTCCTTGACTACATCAAAGGAGGGTGAGGAGAAGGGGTCCCCGCGTCTGCCCCGCCTCAAAGGGCACGACCCACACTGGCCTGGGCCTGCGGCACCGGGCTCTGGGCAAACCCTCAGCGTCGGGGCCGAGGCACCGCCAGCAGGGTCACTTCGGGTCCCCAAGCAGAGGTGGTGGCAGGGACTGTGTGACAGAGGGCCCAGGGCCGGAGGGACGCCCCGTCTTCCCTGCCCAAGTCAGGTCCCTCGCACACAGGTGGCAGGAGCGGGTGGCAGGCACCTGCACTCTGAGCGCCTGGTACTCCGACCTGCCAGGGTTGGGGCAGTGACTCGCCTGATAGTGGGACCATAAAGGGCGCCAGGGTGGTCTGCAGGTACCCAGACGTGAGTTAAAGGAGCAGCAGAAGCTTCCGGGAGGGACGGGACAGGAGGCGCAGCCGGCAGCTCTGGGTGAGCCTTGCTGGCATTCGCCCTACCAGGGCAGGTGCCAAGCCAGGGCGTGGGCAGCCGGGAGCCCACAGGTGCAGGCGGGTGAGTGGCTGCACCTGCCTGGGAAGGAGAGGGGTAGGCGCAGCTGCTGAGGTTGGTCCCAGCCAAGCAGGCACTCGGCTGCCTGGCTGTCTGGACAGAGAAGTCAGCCCCCACACCGCCCCATCCCAGGGTGACCCCACCCTCTTCTCCGGAACTGGTGGTCTCGAGGTTGCAAGCTCCTCTTGTGCCCAGCTCCTCGGGTCCCTGTCACGCAGAGGCGTCCTCCAGCCTCTCCCTGCCTCCGTCACAACCCCAGGAAGCACCGGCCCTCACCTTTGGCAGCTTCTGGCAGTTCTCAAACACTCATCAGCCCATGTCTGGTCTCACAACTCACAGAGCTCAGTGGGGGCTGGCCAAGGACGCGGTGCTTGTCTCACACACAGCTAGGGGGCAGCAGGGTTCCTGCCATCGCAGCATGCCTCCTTGTGTTCCACAGTCCTGACTAGGCCAGGCAGGGTGTGGTGCAGATGGAGCCTGAAGAGTTCAAAGGCTGGAACCCTCAGAGGCTGGGCCACAGCCAAGCTGGCGCCTGCGGACCTGGCAGATTAGAGCCCCGGCGCCCACGGCCTCCCTGCCCCTCTCTATGGAGGATCCGAGAATGGCCAGCTCCGTGCAGTGGGAGCCGCGTGTGGGGCTGGGCAGGAAGCGGGTGGAGGTGCCTGTCTGGGGTCCCCGTCCTCCCTCACCACCCCAGGGCCCTTCTGCCAGGGTGGCCTCCTCCCCCACCTTCCCCAGCGCCAGCTCAGAGATGCCCGGCTGCCCCCCGTGTGACCCCAGAACCCCTCCCCACAATCCCTGGGTTTCTGCTAAAGCAGCAGATTCCAGGCCCCACCCTGGACCAGCAGAACTGGCGCCTCTGGAGCGGGGCCTGGCATCTGCTTTTAAAACAAACTCCCGTGGCGATGGGATTCTCACTGGCTCAGTGTGAGTGCCACCGAACCGGCTTTACCGGGGGTCACACGTCGGTGGTTCCGTTCGGCCCGCAGCTGGCAGAGCGTAGAACACAGCTGCACCCTCGGCGAGCGCAGACTCAGAACCTGAGTCCTCCAAACGCACTCTCCACTGTGCTCTATTTTCATTTGTAATTTTTGGTTTTTGGGAGGCAGGGTCTTGCTCTGTAGCCCAGGCTGGCTTTGAACTCACAGTGATCCTCCTGCCTCAGCTTCCCAGTACTGGGATTACAGACCTGCCGATTCAACGTTTTATTTTACTTGTTAGGGTTTCAGGCACGCTGGGCGAGTGGTAGGGAAGCGGCCACAGCGTATGAGAAACTGGGGTACACCCGAGTCCCTAGTGCCTCAGTGTGTGGGGCACACCGTTCAGCTACACCCCTAGTCCCTGATTTGTTATGGAGAATTTCAAACATGTGCAAAGGGGGAGAGAAGGAAAAATGAACCCGGATACCACAGACCCCCTTCAGCAATTAGCTGCTCAGCTATCTCCTTTCACACTCTGTCCATGTTATCCACCTCCGCCAAAATAAATCCTAGCTGTCATCCCCAGTGCTCAGGGTGTCTCCCTAACCCATAAGGACTCTCTTTGTAAAACAAGGCCCGAATGCCATAATCACCAAAATAAATCACAGTCGCTAATAATACCATAATCACTAAAAATCCAACAATTCCTTCATACCAAATACCTAGACAGTGTTCGGGTGCCTGCATCCCAGTATTGAGGGTTGAACCCAGGGCCTTTGCACTGAGCTACATCCTTAGCTCTTTTTATTTTTATTTATTTATTTATTTACTTATTTTTGTCTTTTTGAGACAGGGTTTCACTATGCACTTCAGGCTGGCCTCAAACTCACAGCGATTCTCCTGCCTCAGCTTCCCAAGTTCTGGGATTACAGGCATGAGCCACCACATTGGGCTTCTTTTTGTTTTTTAACCTTGAAACAAGGTCTTGTGAAGTTCCCCAGGCTGGTCATATTTGGGATCCTTCAGCTTTAGTCTCCCAGAGTACTAGGATTGTAGGCATGCACTGCCACCTCCAGCTTTGTTACAGTTTTTAAACTTTACTACTTATGAACTGTGCGGTGCTGGGGTGGAACCCAGGGCCCTGAGCCTGCTAGACAGGCACTCTGCCAATGAGCTATACCCCAGCCCTCTCATAAAGTGTTTTTTTGGGTGTGTGTGTGGCGGGGAATTGAACCCAGAACCTTTGCACTGAGCTACATCCCTATACTCCCAGCCCTTTTTAATTTTAACTTTTTTAGGGGTAAGGACACAGGATCTCACTGATTTGTGAAGTTGCTCAGGCTGGCCTTGAGCCTGTGTTCTTCCTGCCTCAGCCTCCCAGAGTGCTGGGAAAAAAGAGAACCACCACCATGCCCAGCTTCATAGATTTTTTTGTTTTGTTTTTTTTCCGGTACCTGGAATCAAACTCACAACCTCATGCTTGCCAGGCAGGTGCTGTGCCGTTGAGCTAAATCCCCAGCCCCTGGCTTCCTAGTTTTTAAATTGGTTTGTTTGAATCAGAAATCAGGCAAGATCCATGTGGGGTTTTTTTCTTCTTT